ATCATGGTGAAAACACAAGTCATTGCTAATACGCGGTAAAATATCATCCGGACTGGACCAAGTCACAGTCCCCAATAGTAAATGACCCCGCGCTCGTCGTGGAACGCGTGTCTCAACTCAACATAGCACCAAGTTGTGCAAATCCGGGGTTTCAAACCCTCAGACATCATTTAAAGTCATTACTCACCTCTAGCCGGCCGATAACCTATCTCGCCAAGCCTTTCCCTCTCGAATCGACCTCCTCGCGTGTAGGATCTGACCAAAACCACAAAGGATACGTCACAATAGGCTAACAAATCGTAACCCAATCGAAACGACTCGAAAAACAATCAAAATCACGAAGTTGGCAAAACCCGAGCCCCGGGCCCACTTCTCGAAAAATTACGAAATTCACATCACTAGGATCCTCGTCTTGCCACGAGTCCGTACATATAAAATACACAAGAATCGGAGTCCATTTGACCCCTCAAATCAACAATTCAAACCTTCTTAGGTTTCAAGCCCTAACCTCCATTTTTACCCCTTTAATTCCTTGAATTTCAGTGTTTAAATCCTTGTTTCTACACCATAACAACATTATTCGAGTCTATAAATTCATACCTGATGGAATCCCCTTCGAATCCTCTCCAAATCGCCCAAAATCGCCTCTTCCCGACGTCTAAAATGTTTTCTTAACTTCTGAAATTCGCGAACACTGTTCATTAAACACAGTCCAGATTTCCGCTTCTGCGGCCCTTTAACCGCACCTGCGGTACCGCTTATGCGACAAATTGACCGCTTATGCGGTCTCACTTAAAACACCTGGGACCGCTTATGCGATCCAAACACCCGCTTATGCGGTTTACCTCCAACCGCTTCTGCGGTATATTAACCGCTTATGCGGACTCGCTGAAGCGCCTACACGTCCGCTTATGCGGAAAAATCCCTGGGCCACACCTGCCCGCTTCTGCGACCTCTCCGCCGCATCTGCGGAACCGCTTCTGCGGCTCCTTTTTCCGCAGATGCGGAAATACCAGAAGACAGAAAAATTTGACCTGCAACAAATGCTTCCAACTCCCGTTTAACCATCCGAAATCACCCCGAGGCCCCCGGGACCTCAACCAAAAAGCACCGACACATCCTATAACCTTATTCAAACTTGTTCCAATCCTCAAAACACGTCAAAAAACGCTAAAACCATTAAATCACATCGGATTCAAGCCTAAGTTTCTTAAAAACTTCCGAAACTCACATTCGATCAAAAACCCAACCAAATGACGTCCAAATGACCTGAAATTTTACCCGCACATCCAAAATCACCTAACGAAGCTACTGCAACTCTCGGGATTCCATTCCGACCCCCGGATCAAAATCTCACCTACCAACCGGAATTCGCCAAAATTTATCATTCGCCAATTCAAGCCTAATTCTACACCGGACCTCCAAATTCAATTCCGATCACACTCCTACGTCACAAATCATCCCCCGAAGCTAACCGAATCATCGGAATTCACATCCGAGCCCTCTAACTACATAGTCAACTTCCGGTTGACTTTTCTAAAACAAGCTTCCTTCTAAGAGGCTAAGTGCCTCATTTCCAACTAAAACCAATCCAATTCCATCCAATCACCTCAAATACCAATACTGAAATGCAGGGGAACATAATATGGGGACAACGGGGCGGTAACTCACGTGACGACGGGCCGGGTCGTCACAACAAGTGGCAAGATTAATGAGAAATTAAGTGTATACTTATGGTGTAAAATGATGTTAGAATAATTTGCTCTTCTATATAGCAGATTTTTCAGCATCTTTTCCAAGTTATCAGTCAACCTTATAATGGATAGTCAGCTACAAGGTTTTTAGTGTACTTTGAATAACTTGATGGTAATTATATTGTTTCAGCTATTGCATTTTCTTCAACATTTTTGCGCTTTTCTAATTAATTGGAAGATCAAAAGCAAGCTTTTATATCTAATTTTTAGGACTTTTATTTGTTTAATTGCAATTTAAATAGTGATTGGTTTGTATCTGCTACTTACCTAATCAACATCTGGACATAAAATTGGTTTTGCAATCTTCAACAAATGCACTGGAAAGAGTGAGGTTATTATTACCTAATCCATATATATGATCAAAAAGTGTTGAAATATCTCTCCATTTTAAGCATATATATAGAAACAAACAATTCGTTGTATGCATCAAATTCCAAAGAATCATTTTTGAAGCATCAAATGCCAAAAACATCTCTCTTCCATCAATCTTTTATGGCAACTTCTAAATCCAAACATTTTCAACTCAAAGCCATCTTTACATTCCTTCTCATTCTAGCTCTCACAATCGCTTCCACCACAGCGCGTAGAATCCTCGACGAGGAGCCCGCCACTCCCACCGTTGCTCCAGAAGCTCCTGATGTAGACGAGGCCCCAGCAGCTTCTGGGGCAGTTGTAGGTACAGGCGTTGCAGCTCCTGTTGGTGCAGGAGCAACTCCTGGTGTTGCAAGTCCTGCTGGTGTAGGTGCTGGTATTGTAGCACCTGTTGCTGCAGGAGCTGCAACTCATGTTGGTGCAGGTGCTGGTGTTGCAGCTCCTGCTGGGGTAGGTGCTGGTACTGCAACACCTACCAGTGCAGGAGCTGCAGGTGTTACAACACACGTAGGTGGTGCAGGAGCTGCAGGTGGTGCAGGTGTTGCAACTGCTGCGACAGCTGGTGGAGCTGGCGAAGATGATCATATATTTTCCTTTTTCATGCACGATATTCTTGGAGGATCAAACCCTTCAGCAATAGCAGTAACTGGCATCGCAACCAACCCTTCACTAAGCGGACAAGTTCCCTTCGCGAAGCCAAATGGTGCAGTTCTAGCAGTCGACAACGGTGTCCCAGTAAACAGTAACAACAACGGAATCATCAGCAACAACAACATCCCTTTTCTCACAGGCCTAAGCGGAACCACTTCAAACGTAGTTCAAAACAACGGAAACAACAACATCATCGGTGGAGGTGCCGGTTTCCCAGCCCTTAACATGGCTCAGTTAGGATCAGGAATCACGTTCCAAAAACTCATGTTCGGTACACTGACAGTGTTCGACGACGAATTAACAGAAAGTCATGAACTGAACTCTGGCCTAGTTGGTAAAGCTCAAGGATTTTACGTTGCGAGTTCAGAAGATGGAAATAGTCAGACTATGGCTTTTACAGTGATGTTTCATAGTGGAAGTTATAGTGATAGCCTTACTTTCTTTGGAGTACACAGGACTAGGGTTTCGGAATCACATCTTGCTATTATGGGCGGCACTGGAAAGTATGTGAATGCTAAAGGATTTGCTACTGTTAAGACATTTCCAGCTTCAAACCAACAAGAAACTGACGGTGTGCAGACTCTGCTTCATATTACTGTCTATCTTGCTTACTAGTGTGTTGCAGTAATTTTTATTGCTTTATTGTGTTGTGCTTTATTCAGAGATTTATATCCGATATTTGAAGGTTTGTGAAAATTTGTTGAAGTTTATTATTTAATTAGCACCAGTTTGGTTTGAAGTTTATTATTTAATTAGCACCAGTTTGGTTCTTGTGTTCCATAATCTGCAATGAACTGAGCCTCAAAGATCCCTTATGGGCCAAACAGACTACCAATGCTGCTCTCAATTTTAATAGAAATAGCCCTATTCAGAGTACTCTACGAAACTCGATTAAGAAGGGATCTTTATACAAATAGCCGGTCGGATTCATTGTTTACTTTTCTAGCTAGTATACATAGATTATATATTAATTATACATGATTATATACATATTACACAAAATTATACATGTAATATATATCCGCTAGCTATTTTTAGTTAAACAGTCGGGTGGACGGCTATTTAAGTTAATTCTTCGATGGAGGTGGGCTGTCCGTAGGCTGTTTACTAGATCTAGACCGGAATTGCGTATAGTTGAACTATAGGGCCCACTACTGAAAAATTGGTCTACGATAACGCATGTAAAACCGTTCCAGTAGGTAGATAAACCGTTGCCGTAGCGATATTGGAACGGTTTACAGACCATCGCATCCGCTCGCGTGCCTATAGAGCTATAGGAACGGTTCTTGGAACGGTTTTCATCTCCGTTGCTATAGAGACGTCTATCGCAACGGTTTTCCCTTTCTCTATTGGAACGATTATTCCTTCCAATTGCGATTGTTTAAAACCGTTACTATAATGTGTATGCAACGGCTCATAACCGTTACCATATTATCTAATGCAACACTTTCGTAAGCTATTGTTACGGTTATTTGATATAACAACGGTCTCTTTAAGCTATTGTAACAGTTGTTTTTGTATTGCTACGGTTTTAACTACCTATTGGAACGGTTTAGAGGGCATTTTGGAACGTTTTACCGGATCTATTAGAACTGTTTACATTCTAATGGAACACCATTTGTGTCCTATTCCAACGGTTCTGGTAGGCTATTGTAACAGTTCATTTAAACAGAAATATAGCTCATGTTATAT